CGAGAGAACAAGGGAAATCTTTCTCATTTCCTCTTATGTCCTCTCGGTTTTTTTTCTTTATCTTTCGATTGTTTATGGGCTTTGAGATGCACGAGCGCATGTATACAATAAACAAGGTTTCATGTATGTTTCCAAGATATATGTGTGCGTAGAGGGAAAAAAGAATGAGAACTTTCCTTTTTTTCTCTTCTTCTCTATCGTGATAGAATGTCGACGTTGGAGGCAAAATGGATTGTGCGTGAGAAAGAGAAAAAATATCTCTCCAGAAGAAAGTAAGTCGTGCTATAAAAGAACGACAATTGATGACAGATCGATTGGGAACAGTGTGTCTTCAACTTTAGCGTTAACATTATTTTACTATGGGAATACGTAAGTGAACATTTCTCTTTGAGAAAATGTCCGATGCCAATCAGTTTTATTCACGTAGAAAAAAATGTTTTGAACGAGATTGGAGTCTTTCTCTGTTAGTGACGAAGTTTTTCAAATGTCGATTTTCATTCAGAAAATGAGTTTTTCGATACGATGTGAATATCGACGATAAGATAAGAAAAGTCTTTTTCTCGAGAAAAAACGCGTCGTTGTGCGATAAAAAGTCGATAGTGACAAATGTTATTGATGATTTGTACATAAAACTCTGTCTCTGATGATCTATCTTAACATATGGCATTATTTTAGTTGCCATGTTTCTCTCGTACAAATGCCATTATCAGGCATGTAGAGATGATGGTGACGAAGCGAGTAGCCGTAAGAAAAGATCAATATCCGTTCTCCTTTCATATATACATACATATACACTCAGTCTGATGTAAATGTCAGTAAGAGTAAAGAAGCAAATCATTGTCGTCATCATCATCACCTTCACTAGCAATTGTCATTAGTCGTTGCTTGACTAATTGTATTGACATAAATCTGGTGGTTGCTGCCCGTCGTCACAGCAGTATCAATTACCATGCGTGCACGAGTCGTTTTTCAACATTATTCCAGATGAGAAGAAAGGAGAAAAGACGAGAAGCGTTCAGATTCCATCAATGAAATTGACGAGAACGTCAGAGAGTTTACGTATATTTTAAATCTTGATAATGATTTCTTCTATGTCTTGTGTCTTTCCTACCACCATGCGCACACACCAGTCGTGCCAAATAAATCAGCATACATATATAAAGACTTTTTCTTCGTTTTTTTTCTCTTCTTCTCCTCTCCATTCTTTTTTATATCGACCGATTACTTCTTCTCTCCCTCATTCGTTATTCCTCATCGATGAAAGAAAATAACCGAAAAAATGAGAACGAGAGAAATCGAGAGACGACGAGTTTGCCAACACATCACATCACGCTACCCATACGCAAAAATCTTATTCTTCGCTCTCCTTCTTTTTTTGTAATGCTGGCATGACGTGAACATAACACATAGTCGATAGGAAAGAGGGGGAGAAGTAGGGAGAGGGAGAGAGAGAGAGAAAAGTGACATTGCGCTACAAACACACATACACGCACAACAACACTCATTCTCTCTCTAGGCACATATCTACAAGGAGAGTCTAATGATGACGATGAAAATAGAAAGATCATTCTTATATATATTCAATGATCCACGCAATATTTTACATTGTTTTCTTGATAACAGATCATTCTTATTAATCTCTACTTATTATAATTAAGCAGCAAAGAAAAGGTATGATTCATTTCTTTCTAATATTCAGTATAGTTTATTCTTCTTTTGACAAGTTAATAGGATATTAATCACAAAAAACTCGACTATTTAGATTTAAAATGTGTTTAGTAGAACAACACGATTGATTTGCATTCTTTTTTCCTCTTCTTTCATATTGACGGAAACCGCGTTTTTTGGCAGCTACTTCGCATGTGAGTCAGCCGAAGAAAACGACTAGTTCTGTGTGTGTATATATGAGACGAAGAACACTAGATATGAAGAAAATCAAGTATATCAAGATAGACTATCAGCAACCAAGATTTCTTAAGATCAATAAGCAATTGTGCGAGAAGGTAGCGATATCTTAAAAGAAGGCCAAAACAACAACAAGACATCGAAGGTGATTCAGACAACGAACGCGTAGATATTTGCTCGAAGGCTTAAAAGAAGAAAGGGAGAGAGAGAGAGAAAGAAAGAGCTATGATTTCACCACCTACTAGTTTTTTGGTTGTTTTTTTTTGCCGAGAAAAAAGGTCAGAACTCCAAATTTATATTGACTCTTAGTCAAGGATTTTTTTCTTCTTCTTTTGTTATATTATTTTAGATATTATTTTCTTCTCTATTATATACGATCCGATTGTTAAGCGTTGGAAATGCACGCCTGAAATTTTTCTCAAACCTTTGCTCTTGCGTGAATAGGTGAGCAAAGTTTCAGGTGTATTGATCCAACACGTACTCTTCAAATATTGAAATCGATCATTCAGGTAAGTATATTTCCTTGATTGTTACCAGTTTATGCATGAAGACAAATAATTTTATCATGTTAATTCAAGTATCTCAGATGGCGAATCATTCCTTGATGTTTAGAGATATAAGACGAGTTTCTCTTCCTTAGAGCAAGGTCAAACTCAAAATGATTACGAAGAAAACCTTGATGATTCGATTGAATGATAACAGTTTTTAGTTTTCCATCGACAAATATCAGATGAACGTGTATTTGATTCTATCCAGTTGTCGACCATCAATGTCCGATCTTATTGCATCAGAATTGGATGCTTCTTGTATGGCTTAATTCAATTAAAAGATAAGCAGGTCCATTCGTGGTACGATGCATGCGATGAAATTCTTCTCCTTCTCTCTTATATTCAAAAAGAAGCAACAGTTAACAGTAAGCAATGCAATAACAACAAATAAATACTAAGAATAAAAAAACGATGACAGTTATTTGCCTAATCAAAAGTATTTTCTGTGATGTCTTTTTTTTCATAACTCCGTCTTTTCTTCTTCTTCTACTGCTTCTTCTCCTTCTCTTTGTTCTTCGATTGGTGGTGTCGGCGGTGGGGGTTTGAAAAGCTCATCAAGCTGATCGGCTTTGCAATATTCTAAATCAATCGGAATGAATATTTCTCAATGCATTCAACTTGATCATTTCTTACCATTTGTTTCCACGCATAAAAGTTCTGCTAATTGTCTTGATGTTTGTATGTTTTTATTTTGTGTAACAAGTAAATCAATAAGACTTTCGTGATGCTCCTCGAGAATATCATCACACTAGAAAGGAAGAAGACGGGAGTAAAACTGTAAATTGATATGTCATAACAAGGCCTATGCAAATGTATAATAACCTTCGAGTAAATAAATAAATACACAGATATAATTTAAAGGTTTCTAGTTTATTCAACACATATTATTTCAGACATTNGGTGACAAGGAAGTAATATTTATGTTGATTTTTTAATGTATAATAAAGAAATGTGTCAATGACATAAATGTGTTTTTTTTGCACTCCCTCACTCTCGCACACACACACACACACACACTCTCTCTCTCTCTCTCTCTCTCTCTCTCTCTCTCTCTCTCTCTCTCTCTCTCTCTCTCTCTCTCTCTCTCTCTCTCTCTCTCTCTCTCTCTCTCTCTCTCTCTCTCTCTCTAGGCACATATATCTACAAGGAGAGTCTAATGATGAGGATGAAAATAGAAAGATCATTCTTATATATATTCAATGATCCACGCAATATTTTACATTGTTTTCTTGATAAAAGAACATTCTTATTAATCTCTACTTATTATAATTAAGCAGTAAAGAAAAGGTATGATTCATTTCTTTCTTATTCTCTTTATTGTATTCAGTATAGTTTATTCTTCTTTTGACAAGTTAATAGGATATTAATCACAAAAAGTTCGACTATTTAGATCTAAAATGTGTTTAGTAGAACAACACGATTGATTTGCATTTTCTTTTTTTCCTCTTCCTTCATATTGACGGAAACCGCGTTTTTTGACAGCTACTTCGCATGTGAGTCAGCCGAAGAAAACGACTAATTCTATGTGTGTATATACGAGACGAAGAATACTAGATATGAAGAAAATCAAGTATATCAAGATAGACTATCAGCAACCAAGATTTCCTAAGATCAATAAGCAATTGTGCGAGAAGGTAGCGATATCTAAAAAGAAGGCCAAAACAACAACAAGACATCGAAGGTGATTCAGACAACGAACGCGTAGATATTTGCTCGAAGGCTTAAAAGAAGAGGGAGAGAGAGAGGGAAAGAAAGAGCTATGATTTCACCACCTACCAGTTTTTTTGTTGTTTTTTTTTTGCCGAGAAAAAAGGTCAGAACTCCAAACTTATATTGACTCTTAGTCAAGGATTTTTTTTCTTCTTCTTTTGTTATATTATTTTAGATATTATTTTCTTCTCTATTATATACGATCAGATTGTTAAGCGTTGGAAATGCACGCCTGAAATTTTTCTCAAACCTTTGCTCTTGCGTGAATAGGTGAGCAAAGTTTCAGGTGTATTGATCCAACACACACTCTTCAAATATTGAAATCGATCATTCAGGTAAGTATATTTCCTTAATTGTTACCAGTTTATGCATGAAGACAAATAATTTTATCATGTTAATTCAAATATCTCAGATGGCGAATCATTCCTTGATGTTTAGAGATATAAGACAAGTTTCTCTTCCTTAGAGCAAGGTCAAACTCAAAATGATTACGAAGGAAACCTTGATGATTCGATTGAATGATAACAGTTTTTAGTTTTCCATCGACAAATATCAGATGAACATGTATTTGATTCTATCCAGTCGTCGACCATCAATGTCCGATCTTATTGCATCAGAATTGGATGCCTCTTGTATGGCTTAATTCAATTAAAAGATAAGCAGGTCCATTCGTGGTACGATGCATGCGATGAAATTCTTCTCCTTCTCTCTTATATTCAAAAAGAAGCAACAGTTAACAGTAAGCAATGCAATAACAACAAATAAATACTAAGGAATAAAAAAAACCGATGACAGTTATTTGCCTAATCAAAAGTATTTTCTGTGATGTCTTTTTTTTCATAACTCCGTCTTTTCTTCTTCTTCTTCTTCTTGTTCTTCAGTTGGTGGTGTCGGTGGTGAGGGTTTGAAAAGCTCATCAAATTGATCGACTTTGCAATATTCTAAATCAATCGGAACGAATAGTTCTCAATGCACTCAACTTGATCATTTCTTACCATTTGTTTCCACGCACAAAAGTTCTGCTAATTGTCTTGATGTTTGTATATTTTTATTTTGTGTAACAAGTAAATCAATAAGACTTTCGTGATGCTCCTCGAGAATATCATCACACTAAAAAAAAAGACGCGAGTAAAACAGTAAATTGATATGTCATAACAAGGCCTATGCAAATGTATAATAACCTTCGAGTAAATAAATAAATACACAGATATAATTTAAAGGTTTCTAGTTTATTCAACACATATTATTTCAGACATTTGTTTTCTTTTCTTCTAAAGATCAATAACTGAATTTGTATTTGAAGGTCTTCTCATCATTTCTCTCTTTCGTTTTTTTTCTTAATATTAATTTTCATGTTTGAGGAAAAGAAAAGGCAGTATTAAGTCAGATTTGTTGCGTGACATATTTATCTCTTTTCTGTTTTCTTTAGCAAATAATCTGTTGAAATTGAGGATAATCGTTCGTTCATCAATCTTGTTTGGTCAGAATGTTAGAAAAAAAGAACGTCGATTTTTTTTATTCTGAATGACAGATGGAAATCATTTCTCATCATCGCTTTTTCTCATTTGCTGTAATGGAGATCTTTTTTCACAAGCGTTTACAATCATCATTCAGACACGACTAATATTGACGCACTACCCTTATTCGAATTTTCTTTTTTTTCCTCTATCGTCAATCTCGTTCTTTCTGTTTTATTTGAATAGAAAAAAAAAATCGGCAAAGAGAAAGAGATATTTGTCTACTTTTAATTATACGACGACAACGCAGAAGAAGAAATGTCAACAAAGCAAGGCTCATACATATTTTTTTTTGATGGTGTCTACCTAATAAATATGCTCAATCGATTCAACAGGGAATGAACGAAGTCATAATGCAGGAAACGGATGTTAATAGCACATACACAATAATGAAGATAGAGAGAGAGAGAGAAAAACTCGATCTGAACTTATTGATCAAATTGGAGAAAAGAAAATCTTCACTCGAAACAATTACTTACGGCATGTTCATAAATATTTCTCAGTTGTTTGGGTATCACATCTAAACAAATGTTCCATTCGAGATTGATTTCTTGCTGGTGAAAGAAAACATCTTTACCCTTATCAAGAAATTTTGTGCAAATATTATCTAAAACATTCTCCGCATGGTATCTTGTTTCGGTGATTGGTACCTACAGAAAAATAGAAATGATACGAAGTGAAAAGAGAGAAAAGTGTTCTACATCTTTCAATTTTTGATGTCCATGACCGTCGACACGATACGAACCGACTTGAACACGTTCATTGGGATCGACATTATTCATTTCATGAAATATTGTATCGCTCATGGATTTACATGCTGAAGTATAGACAAATAACTTACAAATTCACAGGAATATATAGTTGATCGTACCTGAACAATAAAAATCTTTTTTCTTCTTTGTCTGATCATTCGTTGATATTACTTGATTGATAAGAAAGAAGGTAAATAGAATATATACAGGAAAATTCATCTACAAAATAGAATGAAGATTGCGTTTTCGTTCCTATATACATAGAGAGAGCAAACTGTTTGAATAGTTAGTTTTTATTCATGCTAACAATCTTATATTGAACACCGTTTATTAAAACGATCGCTCCGTCGAGCGTAGTTGGGTCAAGTTGAGCATCTGATGTTGCTGCATTTGTCTGGACTTCATTTGTATTAATTGTTAGAACAGGTTGTGATGAAGATGATTGCGAAGAAGGAGGAGGAGGCAAAGTTACTTTCGATTGCGACTCAGTTGAGTTCGTTTCTGACGATAATAGCTGATCTACGGCTATTCCCGTATGCTGTTTGAATAAATCTTGTAGTTGATCGAACTCTCGTTTCATGGTTTGGATTTGTTCGACTAGTTGCTTATTTTCTTCTTCGAGCTGACTTATAGCTTCGACTGTTTCATCACGTTCACGACGAGATTTTTCTCGTGAGCGTTTCACGCTATCGTTATTTCTTGCACGAATTTGATTATACCGAGGATCGGTACGAGGAACAGAACGACGTTGCATTGGCTGATTTTCTTTTTGTACAAGTTATAATTAATGGACAATCTTGAAGAGAGATAACAGTAATGATAGATGTGAATTGTCAAAAGATAGAAAATACAATCATTCGAGTTTTGACTTGCTGTTGATGGAGATGTGAGTATTAGTTTTGTTTGCACTTCAAAAATATAGAAAAATACCTGACGATAAAGATTTTAATTGGTCTGTTCATGATAGTATAAGATTGGACCATTTGTACGAATAGATTTTCAGTTGTAGGTCATATTGATCGACATAATTTTTTAAATGCTAAAATATATTACTGGAGATTTGTTTCGGATTTTCTTCGTATTGAATATAAAATACGAAATTGTGTAGTTCATTCAGCATTTAGTGACATCTATCCGATCAGTTAACTTTGATTTCTCTAGTACGAAAGCAGAACGATCGTTGAATGGAAATCGAACGCTGGGTCATAGAGGAGGTGCTGAATGTGTTTCTTTGGAACAAGGAAAACATCTAGACGAAAAGCGGTAGGTTATACATTTTCTCATCATTACTAAGACATGAGTCTATAGATTTATCATAAGTTCAGTTTTACCAATTACCGATGGCGTTGAAAATCAGTCATCATTAGTTGATCAAAACGAAGATTTCCTTTCGAAAAAGTAATGCTATTCATTGTTTAAAATGACTATTTCACTCTCCACTGTATAGAGATAAAACCATCATTGTGAACGATAATATTTCTTGTGTACATTTCACTCTTCGAAATATCATTTATCTACTTTATATTATTCTACTTGCTTGTCTTATTGCTATCTTTCTTTTTACTTTCATCTGCAATGTCATCGATACGTATTGGTTTCCACAACCAAATCTTCGTAATTCATCGCAATGGTCTACGAATAATTACAAAACCGATTCAGCAGAGATTGATACTGATCTGAATTCTACGATCGAAATTGTCCAATTATGATGATAATGATTATTGGCCATTTTCAATTTCACTACTACAGCCATATACACACAAGAATCCATATCTACACTCTCTATTATCATTGTATTACTGTCTTTTCTTCATGTTATCAAATATAGTTAGTTCGTAACTGAACATATTATTATATCGATAATTAAAAAGATCGATTAATTTCTACATTGTTAGACTTTATTCTAGAGAAATGACATTGATACACATACAGAAACACATATTTAAGAAGAAACTATTTTTTACCCACACATGAAAGTCGTCCAAATGCGTCAGTCTCGCATTCAGGAGTCGAAGAGCATACTGATCGACCACCCATAACCATACAATATCGACGACGACGAATCAGTTTAGGCTTTTCGAGTACAGGTGAGGCAGTAGTCATTTCAACAACCATATTATCATTAGCATTGATCAAAATATTCGATTGAAAAACCATTTGAATAAGAAAAACGACGAAGATAGCAACAATAAACTTGTTCATTTTGATTGAAGATGCTCGTACACGATGAAATAAAGTGGTGGAAGATCGTTGATTTGTATAAAAGCAAATTCCGATCAGTAACGGGATATTTATGCGGGTGTGTGGTCAGTCCGTGGAAACAATAGTCGCAGAATGTACCCGACGGTTATTCAATAAAATTAGATCAAAGGACCTGGAAGAAAAGAAAAACAATACTGCCTATTTATTTTGTTCGGCCGTCAAGTTATAAAGAATGATTAATAGTGAGAAGAATTCGATTCGACAAAAGTTACATATAGTTTTATTGTCTGTCAAAGAAAAGAGAAACGCGTGGATGGACCATTCGTCGCCTGAAAACAACTATGTTCGTAAACAATTAACAAAATCTAGTGTGACAAGTTTAATGTGTTTTAAGTCAAGAAGACCTGGATACCGTCGAGAAGTATACAGTTTATGATTCGTTTTTCATTTGAGGGTCTCGATGTAAAGCATTTCAAAGACTTAATAGATGGTAAAACAACTATTTGTATTCTACTATTATAAGTATGATATAGATATCTATTTATATTCGAATTAGGCAGCTCATGGAATACATATGGATATTCTTTGGATCAACTGCATTTCCCGCAGAGTTCATACGAAAACAAAGATTTATTCGTTGTTAATAAGCAAAATCATCGGAATATGAAGTATAGCAACGAAAAACGGTTCGACGAAATAATTTCTGGAAGAAACTTTTGTGAAAATGCAATGAATCAATTGAGTGAACCTTTAAATACTGATTATGATCGAAAAGGCAAATTCTTCTTTATCTGCGATCGACAGAATCGAACAATTCTCCGATTTTGAGTGAAAATTCGAAGTCGAGCAAAGTTCTTCTGCAAAATATCGATTGTTTTGGAATAACAATGGATAATCAAGAAAATGTGTATATTTTTGATACGAAGAAATATCGCAGGTGAACATGGAAAATGTCATCGGTTACATCAATTGAATCACCCAACATTTATCCTCGTGGATCATCACCAATCGATTTGTATTTCTGATTCAGATAATCATCAGAATCATCGAATTATGAGGTTTTTCAAAGATTCATTACATGGACAAATCATTATTCAGTATAATGAACATTTGTGGTCGCCTGAAAACAAAACATCAACTGTTTGCTTCGGGAGAAATCATTTTTGATCAACAAGAAAATCTTTATATTATGGACAAGTTTAATCAGTAAATTCAGAAATTTACCAAGAAATTTTCATTTTCGAGTTTGTAATTGGGTCAATTGAGTTTCGATTTGAGTGGCTTGATGACCGAACAATTGTGTGACAACACCAACACGACGATTTCGAACAAGATGGATCACATTGTAAAATTCTTGACGAAACAATCGACTTGATAGACAATGAACATAGAATGATGCCTTAAAGAAACAAACTTTCCGATGAAATAACAAATCTTTCTTCATCCTTCTTACTGCATAATCGATCGAAGCAATCAAAATTGCAAAATTGTTGAACTGAAATAGTTGTTCCAATGTGAGTCTCGATCGTAGAACATAGGTCATGAGAATGTAAAAGAGACTCAATGGGATCTGAGTGATGAAAAACAGGAGGATGCTTGAGATCATGATCAACAACATTTGTCGATCGAGAAAAACACGACGACGACCACCACCGTCACTGCGTTTTAACTGTGTCTTTTGTTGCTGTTGTCGACGAAGTTCAACAAACATGCTGATACTGAATGCTAAGAGAAGTATTATTGGTAGGATTATTTGAAGAATTGTGATTAGTATTGGCCAAATCTTCAAAAGACAAATCAAGAAATGTTTTCCAGTATTCGAATGAAGAATCTTACCGTTAAGTAGAAATACTGATAGGCTGCATTTGCTGTTGGATAAGTGGAACAAACAGTCGCATCACCAACAACTCCTATGAATGGTAAAGCCAGATGAGAGTTGAGAGCAGCAGAGACGATCACAATGACACATGCACCAATAGTCACCCGTTGTCGTGTGCACAGTTCTTTGACTCGGAATGGAAATCGAACGCGAAGCCATCGATCAATGGTGATAGTTAATAGAAACCAAGCTGTACAACACATACAGAAATATTGAAGAAATGAATAAGCACGACATAGTTGATTCATCATATTCTTGTTTTCTCTTGAAACATTGAGGCCAAGAAAAATAAATGTATAGAAACACGTGAGGAGATAAATGAGATTGGATATTGTCATATAGATGAAGAGTGTGCTTGTTGATACTTTGCAAAGAGTTGGACGACGAAAGATAGTTAAACTCATCGAATGACCAAAAAAGCCAAAGATGAAAAGAACTAAATAGCCATAAAGAACAACATTTCTTTGTAGAGGTGTGATAGCAGATGAGCCAGATCTTGGGGGTGGGCCCATTCCACCACCGAAAGAACTTCCATTGCTACTGTTGCTGATATTCATTTCTATCTAAATGAGTGTAAGAGACCGTGATTCTAATGAATATCAACTAAATGTTAACTATCGCAGAAGTGTGTTCTATAGACGAATGAAATGATGCACGTCACTTGACTCTTTATGATAAGTCTCTATATATATTAAAGAGGGAAAATGTGGCGATAGAATGACGTTCTGAAAAGTCTAATTAAATTATCTTAACATAGAAACTCTACGTGTATCCGAGAAAAAGAAGCTTATCATAAAAAAGTACATCGTCGAAACAATTGACATTTAGTTGGATGTAGAGACGACGTCGAGAAAATCTGTGACGCTAATCTAAAATAGTCTTTTTATAATTTTCTTATTGTGAAGAACATGAAAAATGTTTACAAATGCTTCCATTGGAAACGCTTGGCCACACTTCACTCTCAGAACGACAGGCTATCTCTGAAGGAGAAATCTTTACCCTAGAGCAAATGAAATCAAGGCCTGATATGTCAGATTTATCTACCGTTAAGTCGACTACCTGAGCCATCGAAGAACTCGGTGACACATCATTCTGCTTCTCATTGCTTTAAGAATGATAAAATCTTTTTCGAAAAAGAGTAATTATTCTTAAAAACGTGACGTTTTTTCATTTGAGGGAATTGTAACCCAGGTCGACAAATCCTATACTCGGGTCCGCTCGAATTCTGCCGGGTCTAATCGGAATCCGACGGTTGCGGGTCCCATGTCGGATTGCGTCGGATCCGAAACACGGATTTTATGGATTTTCTAAGGGTCATCATAGAACCTAGCTAAAAATAACGCTCATAAAATTTGCAACAAATAACTGGATTTTTCCAGTCTGAATCCGATGCAATTCGGTCACCAGAAATCCTATCGGATTTCGTCGGATGGTCGGATCCAACGTCGGATTTGTTGACTTGGGGAGAGATCAATGATGTATTTCTGTCTCAATTTTTATCTCTGACAATACATTAACATCATTCTAATGGAAACAGCTACTTCTGAATATTTTCCACAAGAATGATCATCTTTCCTTCCATCTGGTGGCGTAACCAAGGGTGAGTTACGTTAGGCGCCGTCCAACCACCGGCCAGTTCTTAGAAACTGTTCTTTTGTGATGACAGATATAATCAAATACTAATCATTTATATTCACTCATATCTGTTCTTAGATATATTAGGTTGTCAACAAAGTTTTGGCGTTTTTTTTCAAAAATTTTATTTTTATTTTTTCACTTCAAAAGTACAACTAGTTTCCAGATGTATATTTACCATTGCTATCTACCACTAGTCGCCAACGTTCTGGCAGAGGCATGATTAAGCGCTCGTAGAAGTCTTGGGATTTTTCATCAAAGAACTTGATAAGTTCCGTTTTGACGTTGCTCTCGTCCTTGAACTTTTTATCACGTAGATCATTCGAAAGAGAACGAAATAAATGGTAGTCTGTCGGAGCCAAGTCTGGAGAATAAGGTGGATGCGGAACGATGATCCAGCCAAGCTTTAATAATATTACACTTTAAAGCTATTATTGTATATATTGATTTATTTTTAGTGTAGATTAGATATTTATACCAAATATCAAATCGAGAACCAGATATTCTAAATAAGTATCAATACAATTAAGTAGATTATGAGTTATTACATGAAGAAAGGAAATAAGAAAACGTGATATAAAATATCTGCTACAATGAGAGAAGAGAGATGACTACTACAATAATTCAGATAAATGTAAAGAAAAAGGTAAAAAACTGAACATATACGAATAATTATTCTAAGATAATTTGAAAAATGATAATACATTTTATATACTTGTAATAACACTAAACTCTTAACAGTATATCGATTTATACACGTTCAAAAAGCGGAAGAGGTACATTCTCGTTTTGTCTTTTTGTCAAGTTCATCTAGACGTTTCAGTTCAGCGTCTTGAGCAAGAGAGGGTCTAACTTGTAAAAACTTCATATCAAAAGGTCGAAGAATGACTACATCTTCTGCTCTCTTTACTCTGCTGAGTGGTACATATATTGATGACACCTGCATCGTCGTAAGTGGAACTTAAAGATCGACTACGATTTTGTTCATGGTGAGTCCTTGTGCCTTATATGTAGTTATTGCGAAGGCAGGTACGATTGGTAGTTGTGTTCGTGTAACTTGGATCATTTGTGAAACTTTTTTCTCACCTTGCATACGTTCGAACAGTTGACCGAAGAGTAGTTGCCTCACGGAAACAGTAAATTGCTTTTTGATAAGTGGAATAGGGATTAGTTTAGGACGGAGTCCAATAAGACTTGTTTCTACTTGTGATGTGTTAATTTCTACGAGCGCATATAATGGTTTTCGTATGTAAATCGTATTTGAGGGAAATACTTCCCTTTTTATTTTTGAATCGGTCGGATCTTCCTGATCATCGTATATGAGCTTTCGAAAGATTCCTTGAGTACCATTCGAAAGCCCTAGATCACACGCAATGTTATCGGTGAGAAGCACAGGCATGTTTGGTACCAAAAGTAAGAGACCAGAAAGAAGTTCAGTTTTGTTGTCAGGTACATGGCTAGTTCAAAACCCGTTTGCGAAAGTTAATTACTAATTTTTACATAACGAGACACTGGACACAATATTTTATTCATTGTACTTATACACTTGACTATACCCGGTATGATAAAAGTTATAAATGTTTTCCTGAAAATCGGTATCCTTGATTTGAAAAATTTTTTTTTAACTCTCAAAAAAGTAACATCAGATTTATCCTCTTCGACCCCAAAAACTCCTTACTAAGGAGTCCTTAGTCGAATTTGATAAAAAAAAACGTTTTTTTTGTAAAAAAAAAGTAGTTCTTTGTCTAAAAAAAGTGTTTTTTTATGAAAAATTTATAAAAACTAACATCAGATTCGAAGTCTCCGCATTGAAATACCTCTGGAAATGTCTTTTCGGGGAAAAAAAAAAAAAATCGATTTTCGATGTTTTTTTGACCCTGCGGACATACAAGCAAGCAAGCAAACAATTTATGCTTCTAAGACCCTTCTCTACGAGAAAGAGAATAAGTCGAATTAGGCAGCTCATGTATTATGTAGGAGTATGCTCGAGACAATCTCTTTCAGTAAACTGACAGTTCCTGTTTCTGTGTTCATTATCACGATTATATGGGAACACTTCCAACTCTATCCCAAGTGTTGTTGTAAGCTTATCCTTAAAAGATACTATACGATTGGGGAACCCTACTTACATGCATAGTGTTGCACATCGACTATCACAAGAGATTCTATTTCACTCCTTCTATCATAGTTAACAATCAGAAACCAAAATAATTATTATCTTTGATGAATGATGTGTTAACTTAACTCAAGTAGTATTTTCATTGAAGAAGAAGTATGCTGATGATTTGTGATGAGAGTATTTGAATGATATGAAAACATTGAAAAAGTACGTTGAATGTGCGCCATATCCTTCTTGTCATTCGCATGAGAAATTTACAATGCATTTTTTCTTTTCGAATTCATTGAGCATCAGATAATTATCTATTATGTGAGAAATTATTCGTTGACAAGAATAATCATCGATAAATTAGAGTTCGATGTTTAACAGGTGAATAGAAGGTACGTATAATAAAAATACCTCGATTTTCATATATTGTTAACATCCATAAAAAATCAAGAATATTGAAACAATCAATCGTCATTGCAAAAGATATTTTGCTACTTATTAAACTAAATTAACTGAGAGATGCACTTTTAATTCCGGCCTAATGAAAGTCACATGAAAACGCTATTTATAAATCTAGACCATAGTATTTGTTTCTAATTTTAGTTTTCTCATGTGACTTTACCTGCTTTTTTTTTCAGTCTTAAGCACGTTTAGTTCATCAAAATCTCTTTTAGTACATAGTGTCGTTTTGACGTAATAGTAATATAACTTGGTGCAAACAAAAATAGCATTGAATTGTCTATTTAAAATGTAAGAAACACCATAGAACATTAGAAATCATGTGTTTTACAGTGTATTGTTAAAGTAATTACAAAAAATATGTTTCCGTCCTTCATATCTAATTATATATGATGGCAATGTGATGTAGTACGACAGTTTTTGTTATCAGATTTTACTCAGGCAATTTGTGAATAACCAACATTGCCTTATTGAGTATTTATGAAAAGAGGAAAAGATAAAAACTATTCAACGAGGTATATGATTCTTTACGGAGATATCCGTTGACGTCAATGCGCATACTTTATTTGTCGAGAAATGGATTTATTCAATTATTTCAAATTAATTTTCTTCAGGTTATATTGTCAAGTGATTATGAAAGATTATCTCGATTGTTCGTAAATAAATTTAACATTTCTTTGTTAAGTTCAAAATGATTAAATGCAATATTAATTTCCTTTTTCTTTTCTACGCAGATCTGAAGAGTGTTGATAGTTTCCTACAGCTTTTTCTTTCATGTTATAGGAAAAGGAGAAAAGTCTTTGACGTCATCGCAATGCAAAATACTCTTCAAACATGAGAATCTATTCAAATTCTTCGATCTTGACTTTTACTGAACAATTCCCTGTATTGACAATTGAAATAAATGTAAATTTTTGCCTTGTTTTATTGTTATTCTTTTCCGAAAAACTAAGATAATCAATGGAAAGGAAAAAAACGAAAAATAAACGATGGATTCCAGCGTATCAATTCAAAACAAAGTTACAATTCGTTCAGTTCTTATTCGTTCATCGAACTTCAATGTTGTTCTTTGTTTAATGTATGCCACATGGAAAACGATCCTCGCGCTTGAAATTGTTGCCAATGAACAATGCCATTACCAGAACAGAATAAACTTGACGCCAATTTTACACGAGCCACACATTTATAGGCATTTATTGAATTGCTGTTTGAATATAAATTGATCATGAGCATCAAACGATCAAAATTATTTGAGTTGTAACTTAAAACATTGAAATCGAAATGTTCATCCAGAGTTAAATTTGATGAATTTAATCCGAAAAATTTGGTTTGTTTGACAGACAATGGTCGGTGACGATCGAGAAGGAGAATTTGTAGATAGAATTTTGCATCTAACAATACAAATGATTGGTATCGAAAGAGCAAAGAATAAAAGATAATCTTACCAAGTCTCTTTTGATCTATTTTCAAACCTTTAATACGTTGAAGATCGACACGCATGAGTTGATCATCAGTTTTTGCTAGAGAAACGAGTACTTCAACAGATGACTAAAACAGGAAAAGAGATATTTCCATTTTCTATCTTGAGAAGAATACAACTTCACATACATGTTTTGTTTTTTCCACTTCATGCATGAAATTGACTTGATTATCAACTTGTAACTTGCTAACCTGATTGAAATGAATTTTACCGACATGACCGAGATGTATAGTTTTCTTTGCTTGATCTTTTCCATAGATTGACATTGTCAAAATTCGTTCGGAAAGTTTCTCAAAGGAAATATTCGAGAAAAGAACCGAATGATCACCTTCGAAAATTGTGTCATGTTGAATCGATGATTTGATATGAACGGATTTTTCTTTTCCATCAGGTGATAATTTGATTTTAATCGTTAGCTGTTGGAGATGAAGATTCACGGGTAAGGATTGTATGGAATGAAGTTGAACTTTCAATTGACAATTTTTCAAATATGTCAGGGAAAATGAAAGAAGACATGGTAAAGTTGAATCGCGGATAATGAGAGGATTCTCTTTCGGTTCAGATATACTATTACATATGGCAACAGATCGACGTCGATAACTATTGTTGCTATGTATGGGAAGAGAAAATTCAATTAATGCCATTTGTTTGGGATCTACGATTGAACCTTGTCTCCAATTGGCACTACGCGGACGATGTAAAGGAAATGTAGTAACCAAACCAATCGATGAACGTGCTGATGTGATTGTTGTATTAATAGATCCTGCTGATCGATGTTGCTTTTTATGTGTTAATTCATTGATTTCATATTGATTTGTCGGGTAAGATGAACGACTGTTTTTTTGGGATAATAGGTTTTTTGATTGAATTGGTGAATCTTGACCGAATGTTTTCGTCATGATGCCCATCGATGGTCTGAAAGAATTGATTATCTGTTGCTTTTCACTCTTTGTATAATTGTGAGTGTTTCGCGAACGAACAAATATGTAGAAAATCACCGATGAGATCACACACACAAATATAATACTGCCAATAATAATCGTTATAAGCATGTTTTGATATTTTGAAGATTTAATCAACAAATCTGTAACATCTAGAAAAATTCTAAATAATCTTATTTCATTGTATTTAACATAAATTCAATTATCTGTTAATCTAAAAGTAAACAACATACTTATCGGATCTTGAATAAGAACTCGAATGAAGAGAAAACTAGTTAGTGATATCCAAATATATACACAAGACTTCAATGAGTTTAATAGTCATATATTTAATAATGACTAATGTTGACCTTCCTGCTAAAGACAGTAAATCATGAACTGACATATTTTAAAACGACAATTCCATTTCCTTCACTATATGTGCTTTTCCTCTCTTAGTCTCTTATCATTAAAACGACAAAAAAAAACTTTTCTGTTGATTTAATCTCATAAAATGAATAAAAAAAATATGTTCTACGTTGATAACTAGTTCAATATCTAGTAGGCTTCCTCTGACAAATATAAAATATCACAAAATATTAACTCAATATATGAATGACATTAAAGAAAATCATACGCTCTGGTCTTGTTTTTATCAAATACTGAAAAACTTGCATAACAAGAAAGAAAAATTGTCTAGCTGCCTATTTTTTAATACAAAAAGACTTCTTTCGGGGAAAAATAAAGAAGTTTAACAAGATAAGTTGACATCTACACTCTGTTTGATGCGTACATTTTAAAGTCATTTTCCCCGATACATTTGTTATTCTCTTGAAGGTAATTATTCTGCATATTTTTCATCTATTGTTTCAAAAGAAAAGAAAATCAGGTGAACAATACTTAACATACGCTTGATGGAGAAGTTAGTTGCTCAAAAACAAAAGAAAAGTTGGAGGTACTGCTTTTTAATATTCTAAAAAGCGAGTTTAATCGATGCAAAAGGAATGAATAGATGTTGATGCGTGTGTGGTATTCTCATTATCATATGAATGAGGAGAAGTATGAAAGAACTACATAGGAAAAACTCAACTAGAAATAGTAGGAGGAAAAGAGAAAAGACAAAGACGAAGTTTTTTTCCAGGAGACATCAACTAAACCACCTGTTCTGTGTTTTTTTTCATATTTTGATTAAAAGTAATGTTACAACGACGAAACAGACGAGAAAAGAAAAAGAAATGTCTTCTGGAATTTCTATGTGTCATCACTTGTCAATTGCAGATATCTTTTAAGTGTAGAGATGATTATTACAATTCTCTTAAGACAAGATTAGATATTTTGGGGGCGGCAAATTTGACTATTCTATCAAATTCAATTATCATATATTAGCTCATAAATGATAATAGAACAAATCGAACAGAATATCTCAATACATACATAATCATGGCGAGAATTTGAAGAAGAAGATGCCCTGCTGGTTGATGTCTGAATCTTCTATAGAAATGCGATGAAAAACAAAACGTTTTTTTAGTACTTGAGACAGTCTGCTCGTAGGCAAAACCAGGGAATATACAAAATCCGATGGTGTTCACATAATTGTTTTTATCTCGGCAAAAAAAAAGAAATTAAAACTAAGATTGTTCTGCACGTACATCGCGACGAGTGATGAATCAAGATGCCGTCATTAGAGAAGAGATGACTAAATATAAGCTTTCCATAGATATATCACAAATAAGTTTATTCTGACGTCAGAGAAAAGCTCATGTTTCGTCAAAATTAATTGAATTCAATGAGGAAAACGTCAAGAAAATGAAAACAGAAGAAAATAATGATCAAATCTAACAAAAACAAGTTCATATGGAACCTTTTCCTTTAACCTCGATGCATAGTACTGGAGTTCGAACATCTCCGACAAGTCACGATAGAAAACACTGGAAAATAGTTTGCGTCGACACATGACAAGCGACAAGGAACTTGAATTATGTTGAATTTGACAACAATAACAATGTTCAGGGAATCCTTCTAACGCTTTCTCCTCCGCGGTCATATTTAGTGTTAATACATACTCGACCAATCTTCCTTATGACAAAATCGAACGTGTCTGATCTCAATTTGTGATGATTAAACATAATATTTTAATTAATTCATTTATAATTCGGATTGTCTATTAAGTTTGATGAACTATCTAAGAACAAATTCGATTGTGAAACTGCGGTGACAAACTGTCATTTAATTTAAATACTTGTCTATTCATATCTCCTCCTACGACAATCGTGATTATGAGCTCAAATAAAAAGTGTCACGGTAAAAAAGCAAAAATATTGACTCTTCCTTATGTATAATCAAGAAAAACCCGTACGAGTAAAACATTTCACCATCTGAAAGGAAAATATACAATGTCAGGAGAATGTTCCCCTTTACTAATCGATATAACCCATGAATAACGAGATAAGTCATGTCTTATTATTATAATTACGAACAAATTATATGTGTCAAATACGATAAAATATAGATAAGAGTTAGTTTCGACTTATATGGAACATGTACCTTTGTCGTGAAGTCTTCCATGTCTCAAAAATAGAGTCTACATGTAGATAATGTCAAACTCATTAGATATTCTGCGCACATCAAATCATAATTTCTTTCAACATATAATCTGAATGAATCTATTCATCTTGAAGAAACTTATAAATAAACATAGATCAATCGCAATTCAAAATAACCGACTGAGATAGTTCATGTTATTTATAGATTTATTCATGAGATATTACGAAGTGCAATACCAAAAGTTCTTCAAAGGTTAAATTTCAGGAACATTAACACGATATATTTGACGTGATAGAAATTTTGCTGTTCGTTTATGTCTAAAGGAAATATCCAATGAAAGTTTTAGTAAAATAGAAAATTGATTCGATTGTGTTTTCTTTCGTTTCTGTCTATAACTGATCTTTGTTTATTCTTCATTGTTTATTCGATATGGAAGTTGATTCGAACGTTGTTTACAATTCCCATTGGAAATCCGGTGTTTGTTGGGGAAATTTAGCAGGCTGTTTAGCTTTCTATCATTCCTTAACCGGCTTCATACTATTAGTGGCAAATACAACGTTCGCTTTCCTAACAACTGACTATCTCTTCATCTTTGCATCACTAATTGCACTTGGTTTTCTAATCATTCTCTTAGGAATTGTCCTCTTGCCTTTGGTATTTTCCTACTTTCTCGGTCGACAATATCATATCTATGCAACAAGTCATGCATACGTAACGTTCATCGTTAATTTAATTAATCTATTCCTGATTGCCTGTGTTGCTTATGAAGTTAGTCAATTACAAGTCTTAAGTTTACTTTCATCGCGATTTTTAATTGCGAATTTGGGTTTATTAGCATTATCGTTGGTTGTCGGTGTTACAGCATGGGTGACATATGTTGGAAGACAATTTCATGAACCCAATGGACAATTTATCCTTCAACTTTAATATAAGAAAAAAAACGTTGTTTTTGTTTTTTTCTTTGTAAAACTAGGAAAATAACATGAAAAGTGTATGTGTCTGTTTTCTTTTTCAGATTCTTTTCTTATTCCAGTTAAATCAAATGAATAAGGGTCAAAATGATGAATATGAACGATAGTGAATGGCTATTCCTTGACTTAATTTTCCACCGACCGTTTTTGTGATACTGTATTTGAACAGAAGTTCTTTTACAGTTTGAAATATCAATGGACCACTGCATAATGATCGATTACATCTGATTTCGAAACTTCCAAAATTGCCAAAATCGTATGCAGCAACCGATTTGTCATTGCCATAAAGATTATTATTACAGCCACGATTTGTTCGACTATTTCTTCGTAATCGCTGTGCACCTTGACAGATACCCGGCCGTGTTACCAAACCACATTGACGAATATTTTCATCCGAATCGAAACATGAAAGATCAGTATTTTTAATTGGTGATGATGATGCAAGAAGTGGCCAAAGTTCGTCGCGAAGTGTTGTGTAGTTAAATTTCAAAACGTTGTAGTAAATCTGACATAGTTTTAGTAGCGAATTCAATTGCACAATCATCGGAACGATCGTATTGATGAGACACACTAATTGATGATACCAATACGACACGCGAAAAGAACATTGTGTTGAAGACTGACTTTGGTTGCATGATGTAGGAATTTCGAAAGAAGTATGAAGATCAGATTTAAATGAACAATCTACTGTACATCAAAGTGCACAGATGTATAGCAATAGATCGACGTCGATATTTATTATTTGAATTTGTTTGTGAAAGATAAAACTCAATTGACGCCATTTGTTTACAGTCAATGATTGAGTCTTGTCGCCAATTGGCACTACGTGGACGATGTAAAGAAAACAAATTCGGTATCATACCAGATGAACGTGCTTGAGTCATACATGTATTGATAGATCCAGCTGATCGATATTGTTTTTTATGTTTCAATTCATTTATTTCACATTGATTTGTTGGACAAGACGAATAATTACCCTTTGGACTGGAGAGATTTGAATGAAATGATGAATCTTGACCAATTGTTTTTGTTATTATACCCATTGATAATTTAAATGAATGAATAATTTGTTGGCTTTCATGATTTGATGATAAACCGATACATTGTGAACGAATAAATACAAAGAGAATTAAAGACGATGCTAAACACAAGTAACGCTCGTCGAGATAGACTCGCTGAGCCATCGACTGAATAACTAACATTGGTAAATGTTTGCAGTCCATGAAACCATTCACAATAACTCACATTGTATTATTGCATACGCGCTATAACCCTGTTTTTAACTTATCACCTTTTAATTTACCTCGTAACAGATTCAAACAATATAGGATGTCATAGTGCCACAAAGCTATTTAAGAAGTTTTATAACAAGTAACGATCGTCGAGGCAGAATCGCTTAACCTTCGACTGAATGAGGATGTGTGTGTTGTCGACATGTTGCCTGGTGTTCTTGTCGTCAATCATACTCTCACCCTCAAGATGACCAAATATAGGGGTAACATGTTATCTGACAGCTTTGTACGTTATTGATTTATTCTTTTCACGTCGAATCATAATTTCCTGATGAATGACTTTTTTATTTTTAATGAACATCGATCGATTATAAAAGGAAAGCTAACAATGGAAAAACATTGCTTAATTTGCAAAAAGATAAATGCATGATTTTCAGATAATTGAATGATGATCAATGATGGGCAGATCGATCGATGATGCTGGCAAATTATTGATCCACCAGGTTATTATGGCACGGTCGGTTAGGTTCGTTTTCCGGCCATTTCCTTGCCGCCGGATCCCGGCCGGAAGTTCAAACGTAGGTTCCAGTCATTTCCCGAGCTTTTCCTGCAAACTTCGAGCTGGAAACGGCCAGGAACTGATCGGATATTTCCTGTGCAATTCCGGCGGCAAGGAACCTGCCGGAACTTGCTAGAATCGGCGAAAACTGTGCCGGTATCGAAAAGAGCTGTACCGGAAACGACTCAGATTTCAACGGATCCAGTCGCCGGAATGATCGACCTGGGCATTCGTTAATATACAAAAATTTGCTTTCGTTTAAAGTAACATTTGGACTAATTCCGTTAAATCTGCCTTCCCGTAAGATGCTACTCGATTCTTGATCATCATCAGGTTCGTTTATTGGTGGAAGTTGAGTTGTTCGATTAATTAACTTCAATCGTCGGTTTTTCTCTAATTGTAAAATAGCATTGTGTTTTTCAAGATCAATTTGGTATAATACATGGTTCATGTACTCTAATTCGCTTTGGTCAAAATATTCTTTAATTGATTCTGGAAAAGGATCGGTCAGTGGACGCTTTATTATCTTCATGATGACACAATAATTTGTTTTTGGACTAAAATATTTTGACGGAGTGGTTGATCGTGTGAGCATCACGCTACGTCTGTTGTTGTTTAAGATATTCGTTAGGTGTATTGGTAATAGATGGTGTATAACTTCTTGACGACTTAGTTGTGGAAGAAAGATCTTCTCCACTGGATCACTGTTCGATGGTATGCTTCCATGTAGTCCACTAGTAACTGTAACGACAAACTGGTTGCGTAGCTGACCGCTTCTCACAGTATAGATGTTTATTGACTACTCTACATGACCAGAATGTGTCTACTTCACAATAAGTCACACGCTTACATAGAGGAGAGAGACAGAGAGAGAGAGATGACCCGGAGGTAATATGATATAGAGGTGAGAGAATAAAGGGCAGAAAGAGATGAACGGTATCATTATCGTTACAGTAACTAAGAGATGTACATAATCACCATCAATGTATAAGACTAATGCTGGCTGATGTTTTTTCTTTTTACGTTTTCTCTTTCTCTTTCCTGATTTGTTCGACGAATTTTTTGATGACGATGAAGGAAGAGACGATGACGCTGTGTTTTCCTCTACACCAAAAGCTTGTTCAGCTTTATATCGAAGAAAATATATTTTTCCGGCTATTGGAGTTGAAGATGTTTGTTCTTCTTCCCGACTACTACCACCTTGCAAAATACATAATGGAAATGTTAATTATTATAAAGTATACCGACAACTTACTGTCACTCATTGATTCAAATGATGCTAATCCTTCAATATTAACTAGACAAGTGGATAAAAAAATCTGAAAATGAACACGAAGAATAGATAATACAATACAATCCCAGCAAACAAAAAAGGGAAGAAGTAGTTTTTTCTTTTTCTCCTTCCTTTGTACATATACATAATCCGATAATAAATGCGAGAGATGTCGGACATATTCAGGGTTGTCATTTGAACTACAAAATTTCGATTTCAGCAATCTTGATCCGGCAGCCGTAGGCATGTCTTTGCAATTCTGATACAAAAAACTATCACGTGAACGCTTTCAGCAATTCTGTTTCAAGAATTTTATACCGACATTCTCATAATGTTTTCGACCAGTTTATCAATCTCTCATCAATGGTTATCAATCCAGGTGAAATAAACTCAGTCATAAACGCCCGTTCACCATCGTCTTTGACCTGTCTGGCATGTGCCTTATTACGACTGTGTATCGCTGTGTCGTACATGATTATTTATGGGATTTTCTACACGTTCTTCACCGACTTCGATCGTATACAGCGCCGAACAAACGGGTCAAATATGGTCAGTTCACGGGAGAAAGAAAGAATGTCTTCGGGTTAATTTTGACGATTGTCTCAAAGTCAATTATTTGCTTTTTTCTTTTGGAAAAGATCATCTCAATACTTGATAAGAAAGAAGTAAATCTAATCTTCTTTGTTTTTCCTTGGAAAAAAAAAGATGTGCTTTTTGTTAATTTTCATCTTTGATATAGAGATATCGATCGTGTTCGTCGTCGTCTCCAGTTGAATTGTCCGGATTGGACTGAAGATGTTTGCCATCATCATCTTGTTCAGCTTGAGCTTTTTCATTTAATAAATCAACAATTTGATCAAGACAGGGTTTTTCGATGAATTACATTTTTTCATCAATGGATAATCATTGTCGAAGAGATATGAGATGATCTGCTCAGCAGCTAATAAACGACGTTTTCGATGAAAATATTTTCCTTGATCATGATCGATTGTTTCTTGTGTCATTGATGATGACGACAGATTCGATTCTAAATCATCTGGATCATTTGATGAGATTTTACTTATATCACTTGTTGTACTTGAATTCGAAGATATACATTTTCTTCATATTTCGATAAACGTTCACGAAGACTTTCATTTTCATGCTACAATTTTTCAATGGACCAAATTCAGAAAAGGAAAACAAAAGTAATGAAATTTGTCTCTGAAAAGATTTGTTTCATTTTGATGATTTAATGAATGATCTTTCGACGGATGTGCAAAAGCAGCTACTTATAATTGAAAAATATAATTGAATAATTGCTGACGAGTATGGATGGAACTGTCGATTCAATCAGATTTCGAACACTATCAGAAGAAAAATCTTTTTTTTCAAATGAAAAATAGAAACGATTGATCAGATCGATATTTGAAGAAATTCCCATTGAAATTTGTGATTGATGGATTTGTTGGTTGATCCAATGATGAGAAATGAGAACGGTTTAATTCAAATAAAGATCAAATTAAATGACGACACAAAGATTGTTCTTTTCAAACCTGTTCGGTGGTGTTTCTCTTGCAATTCGATGATCGATTTGCATTGATGAAATACCATTTGGAGAAGAATGAAAACCTTTGCATTTGAAAGAGAATTCTTTTTACGAGAATTTGTGTGTTGACCGTTTCTTCAAGATTGAATTTTGCTGAAGAAATTTGTCTTTAACTAAACTCAATTCTTCACGTACTTTATGATCTCCGCTGGATCGAATTCTCAAGTAAGCACTCCAATTCTCTGAATAAAATCCCCAATGACAAATTCGATTTTCTACAAATTTATGTCCGTGTGAAACAAATGTTCGTGGACAAAATAAAGCTTCGCATTGAATGCTTTCAACATGCGTTGCAACATATAATGTTGGATATAATGTTCCTGAACACTTTTCAGAACATTTATGTTGAACTTTGATTCAAAACATTGTTTTTAACAATTCCCATTGGAAATCCGGTGTTTGTTGGGGAAATTTAGCAGGCTGTTTAGCTTTCTATCATTCCTTAACCGGTTTCATACTATTAGTGGCAAATGCAACATTCACTTTCCTAACAACTGACTATCTCTTCATCTTTGCATCACTAATTGCACTTGGTTTTCTAATCATTCTCTTAGGAATTGTCCTCTTGCCTTTGGTATTTTCCTACTTTCTCGGTCGACAATATCATATCTATGCAACAAGTCATGCATACGTAACGTTCATCGTTAATTTAATTAATCTATTCCTGATTGCCTGTGTTGCTTATGAAGTTAGTCAATTACAAGTCTTAAGTTTACTTTCATCGCGATTTTTAATTGCGAATTTGGGTTTATTAGCATTATCGTTGGTTGTCGGTGTTACAGCATGGGTGACATATGTTGGAAGACAATTTCATGAACCCAATGGACAATTTATCCTTCAACTTTAATATAAGAAAAAAAACGTTGTTTTTGTTTTTTTCTTTGTAAAACTAAGAAAATAACATGAAAAGTGTATGTGTCTGTTTTCTTTTTCCTATTTCAATTATATCAAATGGATAATAATTAAAATAACGAATATGAACGAGAGTGAATGACGTATTCCTTGACTTAATTGTCCATCGACTGTTTTGGTGATGTTGTATTTGAACATAATCTCTTTAACAGCTTGAAATGTCAATGGACCATTACATAATGATCGATTACATCTGATTTCAAAGCTTCCAAAATTGCCAAAATCGTATGCAGCAACCGATTTGTCATTGCCATAAAGATTATTATTACAGCCACGATTTGTTCGACTATTTCTTCGTAATCGCTGTGCACCTTGACAGATACCCGGCCGTGTTACCAAACCACATTGACGAATATTTTCATCCGAATCGAAACATGAAAGATCAGCATGTTCAATCGGTGATGACGATGCAAGAAGTGGCCAAAGTTCTTCACCAAGTGTTGTGTAGTTAAATTTCAAACGTTGAAGTAAACCTGACATAGTTTTAGTAGCGAATTCAATTGCACAATCATCGGAGTGATCGCATAGATGCGAAACACTATAATCAAAGCTAAGTGAACCATCATTAGAAAATCGAACTCCAGTAGAATGATACATTCCTGATGATCCATTTGCTTGACCGATTTCAAATGAAAGATATGAATAATATCGATGATACCAATACGACATGCGAAAAGCGCATTGTATTGAAGACTGACTTTGATTGCATGATGTAGGAATTTCGAAAGAAGTATCAAGATCGGATTTAAATGAACAGCCTACTGTACACTGAAGTGCAGATGTGATTGAGATAATGTAGAGAAGAAAAGCAAGAAGAATTCGACAGAATGACATAACCGATGTTTATTGAGAAGTAGTCGGTTACTGATCATTTTATAGGTTCTTTATATCTTGTATATTTATTAAACGTCAGAGGAAAAGTATATTTGTTATGAAAGCATATCCTCAGATTTTGGAGTTATTCTTAGGGCGTTAGAAAGTAAAAAAGAAGCTCACCTGGATTAGATATTTAATAGCAACAAATGAAAACAAAATATTGATTTTGAATACGAAAATCTTTCGTGTCAAGATTAACAGATGTCAATAAATTATTTAATCTGTAAGTTGATTTTAAGATGACGTATGTTTTGAATACAAAAGATTGATTAACTCAAATTCTTTCGTCGTTTTTAGTAATCTTTAAATCGTCTTCGTGTATTTATTTTCTTACCAGTGATTATTATTTTTGTAATTTGATCAAAGAAATCATCCATATGTTGATATGTAATGAAAGAAACGGCAGATATTAATATTTTGATGTACTAGACGAGAAAGAAATATCCGATGTTAGGTGGCAAGACCCTAAATATATCTCACACTTCCTTACCAGTAACAAAAGAGAAAATTGTTTTTGTTTTTTTTTGCATGAAATCGAATCTCTTGTTCAGAAGTGAATCACCGTAGTATTATAATTCACGATTTTCCATGTGTCAAACAAGTTTGACATCAAATTAAAAAAATACCAAAAAACAAATCTATATTTAGTCGTTCTATGAGGCGATCTCCCCACCAGATAAAATACCAGACAGAATGTGACTGTATGCCATTCGTCAAGGACAATGGCAAACGCGATTCGGTATAATAGTCTACTGACGATCAATGGACCCATCTGCATTTGACGAACATTACGAAAATAAAAATCAATTCTACACTACGTCGATTTCAACTAATTTAAATATGAATTCAATTTGTCTGGATAATATTTTCCTGGTAAATTTTTTATTCATTCGAACTTCACTATCGATCATTTATTTCTATAGAACTACAAAGAACTTATCATTCAAACATTGAATATTGATTGCTATTGCTTTGGATCGGATCCACTAACGCATAAAAGTCAGCTAAATCTCTAGTGGATATGAATTTCTTCATAATTCTGCTTCTTTGTTTTTTTAGAAATAAGAGAAGAGCAAACGAAGAATGATATGCCTGAACAAATATCGTCAAGTCAATCGGTAACATCATCACCATCCAGTGACTCTCCAAAGAGTCTTAATGAATCATGCGAAGAACAATCTAAGTCATCGACAGAACTCGAATCGTGATAATCAAACTTTTCGACTTTAACAGAAAATCAAGAATGGAACATTTTATACTTTTTTTTAAATAGCAAATCACCTGATGTGTATGCCAAAAATCATATATCTGCTTGATATCAGAATGTTTGTTGACTTTTAATTTGTGCTAAGCCAAATTGTATCATTAATAAACACATAAGCAAATTTTTTTTCCTATAAATAATACAATCATATCAATGTTGAAAGTGCCTTTCAACTCAACGCTCTTGTTATACTACACAAGTTACATATGTATAACATTTTGTATTGTTCTATCGTATATTCTTATCTTAATTGTACGCTAATCAATATAAAATACAATACAAATCTGGAAAAATCATCTGCTTTCCTTTCGTATCATATTATTCCGTTGCATAATCTTATAAGAGATATATGCACGAAATGTCAGATGTATTCTTTAAATGTCATATCTTTATTCTTATTGCTTTATTTTTCATATGATCACAAAAATAAAGTTTTCTAATAGTCAACTTTCATAGCTTCGATGAGACAGTAGTATCAAACTCGAAAGTTGAATTCAGTTATTCAACTGTTCAGTAATTCAAGTATAATATCTGAATTCAACAAATGAAAAGTTCTGGGCAAGATAAGTAGACAAATTTTCTTTATTCAACTAAACGCTTTTTCATCACAATTAGAAATAATCTCCAAGAATAAGTTGAAGTGAAGAATATTTATAACTTTACAATCATCAACATGTATGTGAGCATCCGAAATCGTTGAAATAATGGCAACTGTACGATTTCAATTGCAAATAGTCATCGGACAAAAAAGGGCTTCGAAGTACGTTCGAATAGGAATTGACTATGTATATGAAGAACAATTTGATTTGTCGGACAAATGCAAATTATGATAATGAATCTTCTCGATTTTATTGAAAAATTTCAAACGTAAAGTCACAATGTCTTTGTCTATTTACTTTCAATCATTTGAAGAGTATGCCAATGAACATGTGGACGGTTGGGAGAAGATAATGTATCTGTCCAATGTTGAAACGTTTGTTGATTTTTAACTTGTGTTGAACCGAATTCAACCATTGATAAAACCTTATTTTGCGAACTCATCAGAGTTTTTCGATAACATATTGTTACACGAACGGATGTTTTATGAAGTAAAAGATATTCCAAATGAAATGAACAGTTATATGTAAATACATTTTTATCAACGGGAATGGCTTTTGATTTACGTTTAGCTGTTACCTTTCCATCGACAATTGTGCATATTTTCATTTGAATCAAGTCTAAACAAAATAGCTGGTGAAGAAAGATGAAATCGAAAAACTTTGGAACCATTTACCTCGATGATGAGAATGACCAACTGGAGCTTTTAGTAACGATTGAATTCCTAGAATTTTAATCACTCCTACTTGAAGTAAACATCGTTCATTTTCATAAACTAAGCAAATCAATGCACGAGGCTCATTTTCTGTTAAATTAGCTTGTTGTTGTGTAATCATATCAATTCGTTCTTCATATATTTGGATTGATTTCGTGTGTTGCTCGCTTGCTGTCAATCCTCCATCCGAATAGTGTCCCGATCGAATCATTAAATTATCATATTGATTTAAAAGAAGTATTGTATTACCCAATTCAACTCGTTTATCATTTTTATGATGTCCAAGTATATGAATCTTCAAATAACTTTGTTCTAATGCATATTGATTCACATCGAATTTGAATATTTCGTTGATTGGATCTTTCTTTGAAAAGTACTTTTTCGTTTTTCGTTTATCGTCATTTGCACATAGACGAATTTTACAAATAAATGATGGAAAACATCGTTCAATCAATGGTTGAATACAATTTAATCGAATAATTTGAAAATACAATTGACTATCATCAATCGAGTAGTGCAATTTGTAGATCAATTCCATACGAAATAACTCAGCTAAAGAATATTCAAATGAAGACGGTGGTATTGATTCATTGTCTTGATCATCGGAATCGGACGAATGTACAACGGAAGTTAATTCAGAATCAATAGGTTGTAACCGGCGGGTTGATAGTGGTGATGAACGACGATGGACATGTTGAATTTTTGATTTAATCGCATCGAATGAAATCGAGGGAAGTGGATAAGATCGACGTTGACTGGAGCTTGTATATGATGAATCAGATGACAAGTGTCGTTGGCAGCGTTTGGGCATATCGAATGTTTTGTAAGTATTCGATGCACTTTCGGAGAATGGTGAACCTGTTTCATTGATAACTTGGGTTGATATGTTTGGACTTTCCAGCTTTTGTAATGGGAAAACAAAACGCTTTGTGGCATTTATGGAAATTTGCGGTTCGAGTGATGCCGGTGAAGAGTACAGCAATCGTTTCTTAGCAATAGCAGCGTTTGATTGTTTTTTATAGCGTATATGACGCAGCAATAGGTAGATACATATAGGTGTTAAAAGTAACAGAACCGCGAAGATAATCCCAGTTGTGATAACAACTAGATCAGGGTGATGGAATAACATAGGAAGAATCATGTGTAATCTCGTGCTACTTTCATGGAGGAATGTACAGTAATAATGATGAAATTTTTAGTAAGCATTTTCTTTTGTGTGATTCTATACACCTGTTGTGTTTCTTTTCTCATTCTAATCTTACTGATTTACCATCGTTCGATTGAAAAGAAAATTAAAAGTAGACGATAAGGGAAGAGGATTTAAGTGCTGAAAACAGACAAACAATCATTGATTTTATTCCTAATCGAGAAAAACAATATGAAATAAATGGTTCTGGCGTACGAAAAGGTACGAGGATGACATAGTTTGAAGATGCAATCGATGATTCATGTACGAAGACGACTGACTAGAAAAACACGACGTCATAGCATAGATATCGTTTTAAATTATAGGCCACTGACTGTCGGATTCTTTGCAGAGGTAACGGAAAAGGTGAGGACATGAATACGATGTAACTGCACAAGCATATTTACTTCAAAATCGTAATCAGATTTTACTTCAGCGCTCCTTTCCCTCGTCATTCAATCAACTTTTTTTCGCGTACGCCCTCCGATTTGCCTTAATGCGTACGTTTTGAACAATTATCCTGAACTTTATATAAAAAGGCTTCTGAAAAAATGAATAACTCTTTTCGATAAATAATAAATCATTGAAGAACAAATGTGCAACGTGTTCCTCATAGAAAAGTTGCAACGTGGCAACCAACAATGTTATCGGGTATACATATATAAATGTAAAAAGTGAGTCTTCTCTCGTTTAAAATTTTCGATAGCAGACCAGCAGGTCGAAAACCCACATCAAAGACACGATGAACGATTATTTCAGAGAATTCGTTGATACTGATGATGAAAAACCGAGAGAGGTAAGTAACTAGCGACACTCGAAGGATTCGATAATTTCATTGGTTCTTGTTGAATACATTGGAGTGGTAAACTGTGGACTAATATGTATATCAATCTGCTTTTACAGTTTCAATATAATAACGACTCAGTCAATTTCAATGAAGTTTTCTTTCTTAGATCGATCGTTTTGATCATCATAAATATTCTTCTATCTGGTTGTCTTACCATCAATCGGAAATGTCGTCGCCGTTTGAGGCGCCGAAGAATGCTATTTATATCATTCTGGGTGAGATACAAGCAATAACATCGTCGAAAAAAAATAATGCTCGATGGTCAAATACTCATTCATATGAAGTAAAGATTAATTTGTATAGTTACGTTCAATTCAAAGATTGAATTTTCTATAGGAATCACCGGAAATGAATTCATTTCAAAAATTAAAAACAATTCTCAATTTCGTATCTGGTAATAGAAATTGGCTGAAGAGGAATCTCAGTTGTTCATGACAAAATACGTTCATTTAGATCTTCAAGATATCGATTCCAATACATTTCTGACACCATTTCTCGACATAATTCGTTCTGATGAAACATCTGGTCCAATTACATGCTTAGCATTGAATGCTGTTAATAAATTTCTTTCCTATGGTCTCATAGGTACAGTTCATCTCTTGAATAATACTTTTTGTTTATTTAATACAATATTTTCTTACGCAGATACTCAAGGAGAATCAGCAGCGTCAGCGATTGATAAAGTTGCCAGTGCTGTTACGCATACACGATTTGTTGGAACCAATCCGAATGATGATGAAGTTGTTCTTATGCGTATTTTACAAGTATTCTATACAATTAATTTTACTATGAAAGCAATTCGGAGATATTCCATTCATTTACAGGTTCTTCGCTCGTTATTACTGAGTCCCGTTGGCTCGAAAATGACGAATGATAGTGTATGTGAAATACTACAATCGTGCTTTCGTATTTGCTTTGAAACACGATTATCTGGTAGGAATAACCGATTTCATCTTTCAATGAATGAGTTAAATTATGTTCTTTCATTAGAATTACTACGCAAAACTTCCGAGCATGTTTTAATTGATATGGTTCAATTGTTATTCGCACGGTTACCACAATTCAAAGATGATGGAACTTCTTCGACACTAACTAAACGAGTATGAGACCGACTGATGTTTGATCTTCTGCATTTATATCATGTGAATTTAGTTGCACGCACGAGGAATAACCACGACAACTGGAAATGAAATGATAAGTAATCGTCGTCGAACACAACAACGGATAAATTCATCATCATCAATAAAAAAACAGCAGATAAATGAACCTCAAGCAAATGGTATGAGTATCTCTGAGAGGGTACCCTAACCTCCAATGTCATGCTTTTTTTTTCTTTTATAGAGCAAATATCGTCGGCATCAGAAACGAATTCAACCTATGTAAAAAACAAATGTTTTTAAGAGATAATAATTTAATGAAATGAGCGTATTTTTAGTCCTCGCAAATTGATGATAATGAACGTCCGACAGCGATAGAAACAGCTACTCATGCCATTCCACCATCAGCTCCGATAGATCCGCCAGCAGTGAGCAATGATACGGAATCAATAGGTGAAAATTCGACACAGGAAACAATATTACCCATCATTGTTCCTTCATTTGACGAATCCTCGTCAAGAGTGATCGAGACAAATGAACCGTCGATTTCAACAACAACAGTTGCTGAAGACGAACAACAGCAACAATCACAAAAAACAACTGATCAATCATTGTCAACAACACAATCCGAAACTCAAACATCATCATCAACGACAAATAGTAATGAATATATAAATCCACGAGGCATCCGATTTACATCAACACCAACAACGCCCGCTACCAGTGGACCTGCAAAAGGTAGCCGAATTTGAATATTTTTTTCGCTTTAAAGCATCAAATTTCTTGTAGAACCATTGACACCCTATGGTTGGCCTTGTGTACGTGGTTTATTCCGTTTCTTAACTACTCTGATAAATAATTATGACAAGTAAATTAAAGATTCTCTCGAATGCTTATTTTTTTTTCATCTTAAAATGCGTAGAAATAATACTGAATACATGATGACCGTTGGTCTTAATCTCCTAACCGTTGCGTTGGAAGTCGGCGCAGATCACATTGCAAATTATCCTCTATTACTTTCCATTGTTAAAGATTCACTTTGTCGAAATTTATTAAGTGTAAGTCAAACGTATACTTATTGAAATGAATTTTCTTACAAAATTTCGTTGTTGTTCAGATGTTAAGTTGCAATCGTATTCAATTATTTTCCGCTTCACTCCGGGTATCGTTTCTGATATTTGAAAGTCTACGCACTCATCTCAAATATCAATTTGAGGTAATTAATAAACATTTTCTTTTTCTCTTATTTCAAAACTTTTCTTTCAGTTCTTCTTAACTCGTTTAATGGAATTAATCGTATCTGAACAATCGAAAATAACATATGAACAAAAAGAAATTGCGCTGGAAACTATTGTTCAATTACTTCGTATTCCTGGTTTACCAGCTGAACTATATTTAAATTACGATTGTGATCCATATCTACCTAATTTATTCGAGGAATTAACTAAAATGTTGTCGAAAAATGCTTTTCCTGTAGCTGGTTTGACATCCACACATATTCTGTCACTCGATGCACTTCTTTCTGTTATCGATCATATCGAATTGGAATGTCAATTTCAAGTTCAAAGACAAAAATCTGATGGTATGAGAACAAATTGATAAAATCTACTTTCAATGTAAATTTCTTCGTACCATTTCAGTGACAAATCAATCTTTGACACGACCTGTACCTTCCGGATATGCTCTTGCTCAATCCTTACAGAATATTGATACGAATCGTTCGGCAACACCACGAGAATCTCGACATGGACCAAAAATTCGACAAAATCGAATGACAATCTCGTCTAACTTACCATCACAAGACGATTTGAAGAAAATCAAATATGATAAAAAGGTTTGCTTTTAGAGAAATCTCATCTATATAATTCGAAATGTATTTCTTCTCAATAGGTTTTAAAACAAGGTTCAGAACTATTCAATCAAAGTCCATCATTAGGCATCACTTTTCTTCAAGAAAATCAAATCTTGACAAATCCATTACAAGTCAATGAAATCGTGAAATTTCTAAAAGAGAATCCAATGTTAGATAAGAAGGTTATTGGAGAATATATCTCGAATAGAAAGAATGCCAATATACTCGAACAATACGTCAAGTACGTTTCATTCAGCAATATCTTTTCATAGTTTGAAGAAAATTCTTTGTATTGTAGAACATTCAATTTTGAAGATATGCGAGTCGACGAAGCATTAAGAATTTACTTATCTGAATTTCGTTTACCTGGTGAATCGCCATTAATCAGTACTCTACTTGAACAATTCGCTGCTCATTGGAGAGTAAGTTTTCTTTATCAATATCTTCAGAAAACATGATGCGTTTAAACATACAGGAGTGCAATAATTTTCAACTGGCAAACAATGATGCGGCATTTGGATTAGCATATGCTTGTATCATACTTAATGTAAGTTTTTTTTTTGAAATAAAATCACGATTCTATTTCTCACCATTTCAATATTAGGTTGATCAACATAACACCAATGCACGTCGACAAAGTTCTCCGATGACCTGTGACGTATGTTGTTACGGATGAATCTCATTGGATGAATATTTCTTTGATTAGGATTTCAAACGGAATCTTTCCAAAATGAACAACAAAGAGAATTTCGATGAACGAATGTTAACCGATATCTATAATGCAATCAAATCGGATGAAATTGTCATGCCTGCTGAACATACCGGTCTTGTTCGTGAATCCTATCTATGGAAATTGATGCTTAAACGATCGTCGATGTCAACAGAAAAATTTCTTCATGTGCCATCCGGTTCCTATAACTACGATATATTCACATTGGTTTGGGGACAAACAATGGCTGCATTGTCATTCGTTTTTGAAAAATCAAATTATGATTTAATTATTCAAAAATCGATCCAAGGCTTTAATAAATGCGCAAGAATAGCTGCATACTATTTTATGTCTGACGTGTTCGATAACTTGGTCATATCTTTGTGTAAATTCACAACCTTACTCAATGGTCGTGAGGTAAACAATTGACATGAATATATATTTTCAATCAGATTTCTCGCTCTTTTTCTAGCTGATTGATTATTCAGTAGGATAAAATCACTCAATGTAAACTAATAGCATGAGATTAGGACGTTTTCATTCGCCTATGATTACATATACTTTAAGAGATTTATCTTTTTTCTATTTAGTGGATTGAAAATTTACCTATTCAATTTGGCTTGAATCGTAAAGCACGTTTAGCAGCAACTGTTGTATTCAACATTGCACATGTTCACGGCGATATTCTTCGTGATGGATGGAAAAATATTCTCGAATGTATTATTTGTTTATACAAAGCCAAACTATTACCATCGGTTCTTGTCGAAGTCGAAGATTTTCTCGATCCAACGGGAAGAACAACATTGATCAAAGAACAAACAACTCAAATACCAAGGTAAGCAATTCTCTCGAATTCTCAATTCATCATTGTTATAGGATCTTTCTAGAAGTGATACTGGACTATTTTCGTCATTGGCATTTCTTCTCGGTGGTGGTGGTCTATCTGATTCAACAATATCTTCGAATAAACAAACAACACCCGAAGAACAAGAAGCAATCAAAGTTGCAACAACTTGTATTGAAGAATGTCATCTAGAACAATTATTACAAGAGACAAAATTCTTAATTATCGATTCATTGAATGAATTATTGAAAGCACTTCTTTATGGTTGTCAAATAGGACCCGAATCACAAAAAATAGATCAAGATGCGGCGGTATTTTGTCTAGAATTACTTGTTAAAGTTGTTCTACAAAATCGCGATCGGGTGACACTATTCTGGCCTACTATTCGTCATCAATTCTACTCGATACTAGTCAATGCAAATGAAAAATCTTTCTTTGTTGAACGAACCTGTGTTGGATTACTAAGGATCGCAGCTCGACTCTTACGACGCGAAGAATTAGCATCTGAAGTACGAGATTTTTCTTTTAACAAAAACATTCACTCAATTTCCTTCTTTCAAAAGGTTCTCGCTTCTCTTCGAATGTTACTCTTAATGAAGCCACATGTCATCCATTCACTATCATCAGAAATCGCCTTTGGGTTACATGAACTTCTGCGAACAAATGCAGCGAACATTCACAAATCGGATGATTGGTTTACATTATTTTCTCTATTAGAAGTTGTCGGTGCTGCTGCACATCCACCGCCTGTTCTTCAAACAACTCCGCAGAATCTTTCAACTGATAAACCTATTCTTACTAGTCGATCATCGGTCAATGCAGAATCAGATATTGAATGTTCAGATTGTGCTACAAATAGTACGGCAGACAAAGGTTATACCAGTGATACAGAAGTAAATTTCTTTAAAAATAACATATTTCTCAGTTATTTTCTCTATATTGAAGATTTATCGTCGATCTGATTATATTGTTGTTTCTCATGATGACTTAGAAACAATTCGTACTCAGCAATCAATCTTGAATCAATATAAAATTGATTTAAATGAAAAATTATCTCAGCATGATCGTCGTGCATTAATTAAATCTTGTGAAACATTATCATTCTTAATCCGCGATTCTGCACATGTCACAGAAGAAAATTTTGAGTATTGTATTCACTGTATTCGAACATTTATCGAAGCAACAGTCACACAACAACCCTATCAACAAAAAGCCAAAACAACTAATGCCAAAAATCTTAAACAAATTCGTAAAGTAACATCGTCGAATTCGTTAAATAACGAAAATTCCAATGAACAAATGATGAATCAATCCGGACAAACAACTTACTCATCTAAAACATCTAAATTAGATTACGACGATGAAGATGATCTCGAAGCAATCAAACAAGAATATCAGTCACTTGCTTTACAGCTATTAGATCTCATGCATACTTTACATACACGTGCATCACAAATCTATAAGCATACAACAACAGGACAAACAGATCAAATCACATCAAGTATTTTGTGGTACAAATGTTGGTGTCCTATTCTTCAAGGTAAGATTTGAACATCATAATTTCGTATTCTAATGATAAATTCTATAGGTATCGCTCGTCTCTGTTGTGATCCACGTCGGCCAGTTCGTTCATCAGCACTTGGTTATCTTCAGCGAAGTGTTCTTTTACCTGAACTCCATATCTTATCTCCAATGGAATGGGAATCCGTTTTCAATAAAGTTCTTTTCCCATTATTACTTAAATTACTCGAAACAACAAGTATAACTGATCAAATTCATGGCATAGAAGAAACACGTGTACGAGTATCACAATTACTTTGTCGAATATTTCTTCAACATCTGTCGCCATTGTTAACACTACCAACATTCACAGCACTCTGGTTAACAATTCTAGATTTTATGGATCGATATTGGAAATCAGATCAAACAGATATGTTGGTAAGAATGATTTCCTTTGAAGTTCCACGAAAATCTATCAAATTCTGTCTTTAGCGTGAATCGGTTCGAGAATCATTGAAAAATATGCTCTTGGTTATGAATACAACCGGCTTATTTGACCGCGATCAAGCATTATCAGTGATTACAAAAGATCGAATACACAGTTTTCTTCCGGGCCTTTGGGAAGAAGTTTTTAAAATGTCCGCACCACCCATGATATCAACCACTTCTGCAAATATCGAAGTAAAGTCTTTCAATAATCAATAATTCGTATATTGAAGTTTGATTTTCCTTAGACGAATGCAAAACCGGCCACTACATCGGAAGATAATGTTCCCGCGAATGAATCAGTGACAAATTTGGCAGCTAGTGATTAAACTGCTCTTGAAAATAATGTACGATATTTTGATTACTTTAATCGAGTGTAGTGATCGAATCAATTCCATCTAATGTTAAAAACTCAATTTTGAAAAAAACATATTTATTTTTCGTTCTTTTTTTTAGACTCGAGTCGTTACATCTCGAATACAAAATTTGTGAAGATTGTATGATTGAATCCGACTTTTGTTCCTTTTTTTCCTCTTCATTTATGTTGTTATTATTATTCTGAGAAAAGAAAAAGCAAATACTATATATACATATATACATATATATTTATTTTTCGTTTGTTTAATATGTGCCATGTGGATTTTATTTTCCGTGTTTCTCTTATCTCTATTGTTCACTCAACTTTTCTCGTCTATTTTACTTGTATTTACACATATTGTGGCCAATATAACCATGAGAAAAACGATTCGCAAAGAAAAAGTCTTGTGTAATTGATTATGCGGCACCCAATGTTTTAGATTGAAACTATGGCAAGTAGTGGAACGACAAAAATATGCGAAGCGGATGGAGGTGCATGTAAGAAAGAAATCCGAGCTTTCTGCTTCCATTGTTCGAAAAATCTCTGTCGTGCTCATTTGATACAACATACGCAATTAATGGAAGAAAATACTAGCGCTCAATTGAATATTTTGGCTGACAAATTCAATGAACTGATATCGAGATTTGAACAAGTTCCGACGTCGATGGACATGCTTGCAGAGCCTTTTCGACAGTTAGAGAAATGGCGTGCTAAAGCACATCAGAGAATAGATGAAATAGCAGATAAAAAACGCCAAGAACTTATCGATGAGTGTGAAAAGTACCAAAAAGCTTTATTGGTGAAAAAAGAAGAAGAACTAATGAAAATCAAAACTAATAAAATATTGATTGCTGAATTGATTCAAGAAGCCGATGCATCCGCTAAACAAATAGCCGATCTGCAGAAGTCTATTGCTTTTGCCGAGCAATATTTAAAGACGAATAATCAACCTACAATTGGTGTCATTGCCGATCCAGTGAGCTGTTCTGTTGATATATGTGTTGGATCCCGCAATAATCATATCAACGATAACACAGAAATACGACTGTTCCAAGTTCATTATATTCGCTTGAATGGCAATATAAAAAACTATGATGTTCAAGCTGGTATCAACACCACAATGAAAAACCTTATTCAAAATTTTATTGAACAATACGATACAATAGAAAATAGTACGAAAGCTTATGCAAATGAACATATGCCAAAGTTTGATTACATTTTACCAGTCGATGTTTATGATCATCGTGTTCATCAACAGTTTACTGACACCACCGCAATAAGCAGTATACCAAATTATGTTCAGCTCGTCTTTTACGAAACTCCTTTTTCAGTAAGCTATCCAAGCAACTCACGCATTCTCATGCCTTGCTCATTTCGGCGAGTGAATTCAAATCGTATCGGCTGGCCTATTTATTTGAATGTACCTCGGAGAGGATGCCGGACTCAAGATGTACAAGATGCTTTACAACAGTCATTGGACATATTCTTGTCGAGTGGTAGTTCCAGGCAACGGCCGTCATATGGTCTATACTTAGAAACGATTGTCAATCATGTACTTACGACTATCAAATTCAGTGAAATAGTACACAATCAACTGGATTTTAACAGAGCACAGGTATCATTAGTGATCGATATGGAGTACAGAAATATTGATTAATGAGAAAATGTTTCCGATGGCTCAATGTATTTTCAAACTTTGTTTTTGATCAATCATTTTAATTCTGAAAATTTTCTAATATCTGTAACAAAACAAATGGACAAGTCAATTCGATCTCCAGATCGATTTTCCACTCATTTTGTGATATAATCAAAAATGGTTAATAAATATTTTCCTCCATTGTATTTATCATGTAAATGATTTGTAAAAGAGAATCGTCAACTCAAAAACATTCACTTGATTTTTATCACACAAGCAAAGTATCGTCGATAGTGTCAGACTATTGCTGAATGAATAAATAATCTTCACATCACTAAACTTTTATTTCAACTGAAATGTGAAGAAAAGTTTATTTTCGACTTCTTCTTCGTCTTCTATCACTATCTTTAACAATTCCATCCAAACGAGCCAAATGCGTTGATTGATTTTTCATTGTTGTTCTCTCATCAAAAGTTAAACTAACAATAAGTGTTGCATTATCTGCCATCGATAGGTAACCATCAATAAATTCATCAGCGAATTCCTGAAGTATTATTGTTGTTCCAGTTTGATGATTATCGGATGCGATTTTAACTGCGTAAGACATCTGATTTTGATTCATTATGAAAGGAAAACATTTCTCTAATGTTTTATCTAATTCATCAATGACATCCTTTCCTTGACAATGCAAACGTGGAACTTTCAATAGAATTGGCAAACCAAGTTTCATTTCCCATGGTAAACCATCTTGAAATGTACATAAAATTAAACAATACTTTTGTAAATTATTCATATTCAATTCGAATGGTGTTTCGTATAATACTAATTCATCAATTGTATTGAAAATTCTGATCAATTGAGTATCATTGGTAAATCTTCGTCGTAGTCGATCTTGACTAACTTCCGTTACTAAGAAGAATTCTCGTCTGAGATTTGTCAACGATGTCTTATCTTGCGTTAAAATAAATTGATCGATTAAATCTGCAATTGTTCCATTAACATGAGCCAAAATAAAATGAGATGAAACTGTACCCGATAGTGAAACATATTTTAAACAAAATTCCAATTGACGAATAATTGATGAGGTCGACGAGGAGGTTGAAGAAGTGGAAGAATGATCTGATGGTTTCCAATTGTTCACATTCATTCGGACATGAATTGAACAAGTGATAGGTGAATTGACGAGAATGTCAATTGAATGTTGATCGAATATTTGAAGATTGTTCTGAATTCGCTCGATAGACCCTCGAATATTTGATATATCCTTGTTAGTTATTTGACTTCGTCGATAAAGATCAACTATCTTTTGTTTGTAACGATTGATCTTTTCCAATTTTTCATTACGAATTGTGTCGAATATTTGTTGATATTCATCAACTTTACTTTGAATTTCACCATATTTTTTCTCAAATATTTCATCCACTTGACGATGAGCTTCAGTTTGCCATTGTTTAAGTTTATCAATCGGAGTTTCACGTATCGCTTCTGGTATTGTCAATGCCTGGAAACGTGTAGATAAATCAGTGAGAATTTCCGAACAATCATTCAATGCTAAACGATTGTGTGCATTCATTAACTGTTGATGCTCAATCAAATGTTCTAGACAAACATTTCGAGAACAATGAAGACATATTCCACTAAAACAGAAGAAAGATAAATAATTCGTTCCTTTTATTTCTTTGTGCAATACCAAGCTGCATTTGAACATTGTTCATCACCTTCAGCTTGACATGGATTTCTAGTTGTTGTCATTTTCCTCGTCTCGAAATGTATAATGAATCGATTAGCCGGCGAAAACGACTTGATATTATTTATTATTTAAAAGAAAAGAATGCATAGCAAACATATTTTCGAAAGAAAAACAAGTGTTGGAACATTCTTTTCTGTTCCGTTGATTAACGCAGATTTTCAGCGTGCTTATCAGTGAAAAATGTGAACATCTGGAAAAGAGATTTTTCTTTTATTTCGAAAAGACCGAAGAAGTGTTTCTTTTTTCTCGTTTTATAATAAACACACAGATAATGATCGTTTTTTAATGAAACGTCGTTTAAGTCCGTTACTCACAGGTGATTCTTTCTTCTCCGATCGAGCGGATCTTATTGAATCTGTTCTTTGAATAGGTTGAGATATGTTTGTTTCGAAATAATGTGTTTGAATATGAACAGAAAAATCCTCTATCGAAAGTTGAATGGAATGTTTTTCTACATTGGTTAAAAATTGTCGTGTTTCATTGAGTTGATTTTCGAAAGATTTGATATCTTTTGTGGCTAAATTTGTTTGTCGCGATAGATCATTGAGATATCTTTTTAATTTGTCAATTTGATGTTTTTGTTCGGAAACTTGCTTTGTTAATATCGCTCGATATTCAGCGATTTTTAGATGAATTTCTTGACGTTTTTGTTCAGCTAATTCATCTAATTTTTCATGTGCATCGTGACGCCACTTTTCAAGTTGAAGAAATGGAAGTTCTAAGACGCGTGGTGAAATCGAAAGTGTGGAAAGTTTCTTAGAAAAATCATTCAAAATGGTGCCATTTGATTCGAAAAATGTTTGTGATTGGCTTTCAACGAGTTGTGTATGTTCGGTCAAATGTTTTAGGCATAAATTGTATGAACAATGAAAACAATTCGCTCTATAAAATACCGAAGAAAAACTTGAGTGAAAATAAGTAAAGAAACATGAGTTTACATGGGATCTTTGTCACATTTTTTGCCATTTGTATTTGCTTGACAGGATTTCGATTCGATTCGTTTGGACATTGTGAAGAGAAAAATCTAATTGAATGCGTGCAATCGTTTGTCTGATAAACTGTATCATGCCTCGCCGATAGAGATAAAGAAAATATGTTAGATATTGCAAGAAAGAGAAGAAAAGAGAGACATCACGAATGTACATCAAATATATTTTCATACGAAATGAAATGTTTATATTCATCGAAGATGTGTAACCATTTCATTACTGGAAATCATCGATCGATACTCATGATTTACGGATGAATCACGATTGTATGTTAGAGTTTTGAATTTGTTATGGAAAAATGATTATTTTTCAGACCAGCTCAGAATGATGATTCCAACAGTCGAATTCATGGAATTTCCACAGGATCCTATTCGCATTTCTTGACATAAGCAGATATTGATTTGGACTTTTCATTTTCCTTCAAGCACGCTTTTCCGAAAGATCATTTGATCATATTGTGAACAAAAATATTTATTATATATATACGATCCAACACATTTATCATCGCTTGTATTTGATTGGCAACTAGGTCATAATCCTAAAAAAGTCACTCCCGTTTCTTTTACGGCACGGTTTGCTGTAACAGCCTCTCGAACTATCGACACTGCTTTTTTCAATTCCTTTTTTTCCTTGATGTAAAGATCTGAAAATGAAGGAACACTTTCAAACGAATAATAGAACAAAATTTAAACACATTAGTCGTTGATCAACTCTCGTTCATTTGATTCACTTGCATACAATGTACCTCTTTTTGATATCTGATGATATATCTCACAAAATTAAAAGCATAATACTCATGAGAAGAACTTCCACTCGATCTACGTACAGATGATGAACATCTTGTCTATAAAATTGATCTTTGCGCTAATCCATTTTCATCACTTCTTCGAAAGAACTAATTTATTCATTAATATTTTTCGAAAATCAGAGTACAAAACTATAAGTATACTTCGGATCGTTCCATTGATTGAAATAAAGTTTGTTTAAGATATCTACCGAATGCAATGACATATTGATGTTGAACTTGTTTGACAATTGACTGAATTTGAATTGCAACCAGATCCATAATAATGAAATGTTCGTGACTGAAACATTCGATATATGCATACTTTCTAACAGATTAGTCATATTAACTTACCAGATTCTAAACCGATATCGATTTGAACTTAATTTATCGACATTAATTGTACATTCAAATAGATGTTCTAGTTCTTTGATTTTACAACTCTAATGAAAATATACTTTTGATGGTTATGAAAACTACAGCATATACAATTTACATCTTCACCTAGCAAATTTCGCTCAAAACTAAAGATTCCAATCGGCAAAGAATTGAATAGCGAACCAAAGACCAACATCTGTCGGTTATTAACCTTAAATTATTCAGATATCATTAGAAATTCTTTTTAAATTTCGTTCAATCAATTACATCATAAACAGGTTCGTCATAGTTGTCAAATAATATTAAATCATGACAAATTCGATTCACTATAACTAATACATAAACTACCGAATACACATTTAATGAATATGTATTTACATACGATCGATCTGATTCTTATCCTTATTAACCGGTATTTGAATAATCAATTGAAGTCTCAATTCATTACAGATCGAATCAACTTCCTTTGGAATATATTTTCCGTGGAAATTTATTGAAACATCCGTTTTTCTAATTAACTACAGAAGGATCATGTTTTGTAATTTTCAGCAACAGAATGAAAATCTACCTGTTGCCAATATCCCGCATGTGTAATGGCCACACATACTTCATGTGAATAACCATGAAGAGAAATAATCACTTGTTTATTAATACTATTCGATGAAGAAGAACAAGACATTGTAAATGCTTCTTATTCAAACAGATGAACAAGTATTTATACATATACAGATGTCACAGGTTATTATATAGAAGAAAATATGACATATGTGAATATCCGTCAAGAAGTATCTATATGACCGTCGTATGAATGACGGTTGGTCATGAAATGTTTTTTTTTTTCTACAGCTGTGATAATCGTAAAGTTGAGTTCAATCACTGCTCATCCTCATCTTCAAGATCAGTGAAAATATCCCATGCAAAAAAATAACAGCATACTGAGAGACAATAAAACCTAATCAAGTAACTATTAAAGCATATGTGAAATATCGAGTGATCATTGAGAGAAGAAATTTCATCGTTACACGACGATGTCAAAGATCAAGGTTTGTTTTTCTGTTTTGATGATACTCGAAGCAATGAAGCCTGAAAAGAAAAGAGAACAGAAAACCAGCATGCTCACATATAATGTTTTTCTCGTTCTTGCTCCATCCAATAGGAAAGAAAAGAGAAGAATGTTGAATTTTATGCCATGCGCATGTGAATTGATTCTGTTTAAAAAAAAATAACATTGTTTTATTACTGACAAAGTTTTATTGATAAGAAATCCAACGAGATGTTCTCGAATCTACCATTTTGGTTGATCAATATTGTAACATTAATCCTCCTAACTAGTCCATTGTTTTTGCTTTTACCTTATCTTCTCGTATTATTCTTTATATTTGTTATTCCTCTATTAATTTTCTTTCTCTATTGTTATTTTTCTCTACAACGATCTCAAAGTCCAATTCAAGCGTTTGAAAATATCGTAATTGCTCATCGTGGCGGTCATCCATTAGTATTATCAAATGAAGTTGATGATTTTCCTGAAAATACCATTGCTGCGTATCGATGGGCATCGAAGATGAAAGGTGCCAATGGAATCGAATTAGATGTTTGGTTAAGTCGCGATCATATTCCTATGGTTAGTCATGATGGTTATTTGGAACATACATTTGCTAATTGTCGTGAATTTATCTCATCGTTAACATGTGAACAATTGAAACAATTAAAATATTGGAAAAAAAATAAACGAGATATCTATGATCAAATTGGTTGTGAAACAATCCCAACTCTAGAAGAGGTTATCATCTTTTTAGAACCAACGAAACTTAAATTAAGTAAATAGATAGAAATTCATTTTCTTGAGTATTTTCATCCAAATTTGTTTTCTTTTTAGTGATTGAAATTAAAGAAACACGTAAAATTTCGGAAATGACAAAGATTGTCAATGATCTCTACGTTCGATATCCATATTTGTATGAACGTGCTTACTGTGCTGCTTTTCATCCATACAATCTCTATTCAATTCGTCGTCTCAATCCGCGCATAACAACAGCATTTCTGTTCGTGCCAGATATAACTAAATATTTAATTCGAAACGCAAGTCAAACTCCTCATCCGTTTCCGAAAGTTTTCATTGACAATGTTTTACTTCGATGGATCATCGATTCAATAATGATGTGGTTCGGCACACCGACTGGTTTAAAATTTCTCGGAGCAGATCTAGCTTGTGTTGAACAACGGCAAGTATCACAAAACTTCTTGGATGAATACAAAAATCAACGTATGATTGTTTGTGCGTGGTGTGTCAATGAACGTGAACAATACCAATGGTTAAGAGCAAATGGTGTATCGATCATTACTGATACGCTTTTCGACATCGATGATAAATAAATTCAATTTGGAATAATCTCGCTGAAAGTTCAGTTTTTTTTTCTCGTTTTATTCGTTTGTCGAACAATATCTATTCAATGAATCTCTTATCTATCTACGAATAAATAAATTGATTTGATTATTTTATAAGAATATATAGTTGATATTGTTATAGGACATCACAACAATCAGTTTCTTAAAACATAAGTGCGTTAAATGATGCTTTATTTTTCTTCATGACTGAGGTTTCACAAGGTCACGCATGAAAGGAAAGATGCATATGTATATTTTCTTCATGCATGATTTGTAACTGATGCACATATTTGCAACAGATATTTGAAAAGTTGCAAAACACATGTTGGGTGTAATGATCATCAGTTGTTTTTGTTTATTTTCCATTTTGAGTAAATATTTACTCGTATTCTCTTCTTATCGAATACGAACTTGGCATGGATTTCTTCTTTTATTGTCCATGATTACTCTACATTCGATGTTTGTTTATATCTTTCCTTTAACACAATTATATTTGTTATATTTTCTACTATGCATCGATTTGAACTCATTCGATTATTTTTATCATCCAGTTCTTGTGTTCTATTGTTTATGTGAGTCGTTTTTCTATTTTTTCACAATTGAAGAAGCGCGATTACTGAATAATCGTCCATTACCACGTCGACCTCATTTGCCGAAAAACTATGATGAATTATTAATCGATCGAATATTGAATGTTTACGAAAAATCTCGAGAGGATTTTCGTGTTTCCTTTGCAGGATTCTTCGAAGGAATAGACAACAATTCATATGGTTTAATTTATAAGGATAATATTTTACAATTTATTGCAATGACAACTTACGGTGTGAAATATTGGAGTGAGATGAACAAAAGACAGCAGCGACGTGTTAAACACTTATATAGAAGATATCTAAAAATATATCCTGAACAACAGATGAAAATACAGTCAGGTTACAATACACAAATACGTTTAAGACATCCATTCAAAGATGAACTGCAATACACACATCATTCAATAATAAGATACATATTATTTGCGTGTGTGAGAAGTATATTTATCACAGTTATAAAATCATTCGGTTTTGAATGTCAAATGGTTAATGATGTTCCTTTTTATATTAGAAAATCATTGAAAACAACAAAGTAAATTTTGATAAATAAATCTTTTAAAAAGTTAGATCAAGTTATTCTTTTTTTAGTTTACCTCCGATTCTATTTCTTCATGGTCTTAGTCTGGGAACAAATAGTTATATTTTATTTGTTCATCGTTTGTCATTACTCGATCGTACAATCATTCTTCTGGATATTCCTCACGCAAGTATGCGTATACAGACGGAAATTCTTCCTTTGTCAAGTATTCTTTCATCAGTTGAAGAATTATTAAATGCATTTGATGTTAAAAAAGTTAATATTATCAGTCATAGCTATGGCTCAA